ACATATATTTTACCTACTGATCACTGCAAGTAGTCAAACTATGCAAGGTTTTCCATACAGCAGTTTAAAGCTTCCGAAACATTCTGCTGTGGATTTTCCTTGCTTGCAGAATAGTCTATCCTGGCTAGACCAGTGGATAAACTAAATATACACGGTGAAAATCCGGATTCACAAGAAAACTGACTTAAACTTTATGATAAACCCACAGTCTTCTGACACACCCGAAATTTGCACAGTCAGTCGACAGCCAATTTAATGACTAACAACACATACATCAGGATTAGCAACACATTGACTAGGCGAGGGGCAACGTTGTTACAGTGTGAGCGGACGTGTTGGCTTTTTTATGGATGCACTACGGTCAGATTTTGTTGTTTTTGCTATTTACTAGGTTTGTATGATGCGAACGCATTACAATTTTAATCCCGACTGAATCATTGACTGATAGAAAGCAGAAACAATAATCCGGACCTTAATAGAAGTTTCAACCGCCCTGTGAAACGGCAGGGGTAAAACTTTTTTGAAAAGTGTTATGTTATGTCATTTAATTCCAAAGACAGGCAAAAATGAGAAGTCAAAACGACGAGGAAATTTCTTGACTTACTTGAAGAGTCATAAAATCTTCAAGGGAGCATTTGAGACCATACGACAACGTTTGGTGATGAAGGTTACAGATCGAATAATCCCACTCCTCATTTGTTGGGTCTACTATCTACGTCCACACCACGTAGTTTGTTTATGAGACGAAATGCCTTCACATTCTGATGATGAACTTGAATTTTTGTCCTCCACTACCGCTTCCAAACTACCGGGTCGGTGAAAAAATATCTGCCGGTGGATGGTGGGTCTGTTTTTCCCGTGAAATCGAACAAAAGTCAGCTCTAGTTATCTAAATACTGTGTCAAAGTAAGCGATTATCCTATTAATTGCCGAACCAAGGGATAAAAATTTGTCGAAAATACTCTAGTTGCTTTATAAGTGCACTTTTAGCAAACTGCATAGTGGAAAATCTTCGGAAATTCCATCTAACCAAGCCTCTCCATACGGGAGGTTCAGTCTAGTTTCAGTGACCGCGTATTCGTCTGAACAGTTCGCACAAACTGATCGTCAGTCATTTTTTGTAAGAAAATTCGCGGACAACGAATGTATTGTCCTCTTCTAGCGAAATTTAGTAAGCCTTCATTAGAAGATATTATCTAGCTCTAGGCCAAGTACGTGTGTTTCAGGTCGATTGTTTCAATCAGTTTTTTACACCACCACGTGACTAGGTGATACTTTCAAGAATAATGAAAACAGCGCTTGAGATGCGTTTGAATCTATTACAGGCAAAATTGTTGGTCTCCAACTGCATAATACGATTGGGAGAATAAGTAATAACCCTTCCAAATGTCCCCCAAGGACACAACGGCACGTACATCAATCTGGCATGTGCTTTATCTGTCGATAAGGGAACGTATATCGAGACTCAGCTTGGATTTCGAAAGAAGTATTTTCATTTGAAAAGCAATAAAGATAAAATTGACGACCTGGCTGGTGCTAAAAGCACTTAATAATTCAGCAGTCCATCGTCTTTCTCTGAACTGTTTTAAACAAAAGGTCATCAAAAATTCAGAAGAAATAACATTCACCAGCTCCTAACTCTCTTAGTAACCTGCAATGAATCACTTTTCCCTGGACAGGTACGATACACATTACTGATGGTGTAGAACATAATTCGAACTACTAATCAGTAGTCAGGTGAATACTGAAAATACATTTCCAGCCCAATCGAATGAAGTCATCATACCGTTCCGATCACGCAGATGGAGTAAAGTGCAAAACAGACTATCAATTACTAAGCCTTCTGATGGTTTGTAGACACTGATAATAATCGTCGGCTCATTTCAGCACTTGATGACGCATATATCTGTGAAAAAAATAATGGGTGTCATTCCGAATTTATATTACCAAATACTATAAATTGAATACAAATTTAGCTGCTGAAGGTACTCAAACGTGTAGACACTGGAAAGTCTCATAAATCAAGAAATGGCGCTATTCATTACAATTTAAGTATATAAACTGTAACCAGTCAATAAAAGATAGCTCCCACCTTCACAAAAGTTTATTATTGGACAGAAAAGCCTCATATACGTTAGAAAACAAAGCACCTGTCGAGCTGGGGAGCAGTAGCATTGTGCGACTCAGCTGAGTCATGCTGGGTGATTTTTAGTCACTAAAAAGTTACTCGAAGCTGGAAGAGAGAGCAGCAGCTAATTCATTTCCGCGGTACGCGTCTTGCTCAAAAAGAATTTTTTCACAATACCAACCCACTGAAAGTGCCAGTTCTTCACACTATTATCGTGGACCAGCTACTGGATTATTTGCGGCCGTCATAAAAAAGGTAACTATTAGAACACTCGACGAGCTGACCTTCCACTTAACAGTATACAGTCAGAATTTACCGCAATTTTTTAGTGGAACAGAGAAAGTTTGACAACTTTATCAAAACATAAAAATTTAGCTTTCGATTAGATTGTGACGCAGTCTCATGTGCGGATGTGTCCCGGTGCTCTTCGTCTTGCTTAAGCTGTGAATAATGACCATTGGCCTGTAGTTATGACTTTACAATGAGTTCAGTTTTACGGTAATATATGATATCGGCGCGACTAACTCAAATTTCTTCAATACTTTGGATTTAGTCAAGACATTTATCTAAGGGTGATAAGGGCAAAACACTTGGCCACAAGTCTCAAATTGGGCAACAAAATTGAAAGTTAGAAACTAGTAGCAGAACTCAGTCCTTATAGTTGAAATGGCTGTGACCATCTGAAGAATCTAGACATCTGTCATTTTGGTCATGCGTATGTTAAACCTTGTGTTTCGCCCAAGAAACTCTCTGTGTGAGTCAAAATATGACTTAATCCATGGTAGCATTTGGTGGAGATTTCCTTGTTCTTACTACTTCGTCAGAAGATTAAAACATATAAGTTATAGTGTGACCAAGGAACCTCAAGAACTTCGGAGACATTTGTATGTGCTCAAGCCGTACAACTGCTTATCTCGCACGCTGATGAGACTAGAGCTTCCCTCATTTTACGTTTTCATTTGGTTATTCTACTGGTGTATTAAAATACTCAATCATGTGACGGGTACCTACTTTATGCGTCAAAGAGTCGACGTAAAATTTACCGCTGTCGTAAGCCTCAAGTGTAGCTGGTCGTGTCCATAACGAATGGATTAACTAAAAGGTTAGAAGTACATACGTGCCAACCAGATATAATCAGGAAGGTAAGCTAAGCCTGACATAATAAGATTGGGTTTGGTGAATGTTGACATTAGTCCACTATTTTCGGTACACTTGAATATGCAAGATAAACACTGAAAAATATGGGGAGGCCGGTTGCCTTGAAGCGAAGGTTATAAATAGCTTTGTCATCTGAACTCACAACCTAATGATACCAGATCGTTAGTTGGTGGATGCAGTTTCAAAATCATCAACACGTGGAGCTAACCTCTCGTAATTGTCAACTTCCGTGGAAACAAGCGCAAGTGGATGACAATGCTGCGCATAAGAGGCAGCCCAGCGTACATCATGCGTGGCTACACACAGCTAAAGTAATCCAACGGTCTCCATAGTTATAACCAAGCAATTGTATGAAATTTGAAGTTGAAACAAAAAGGGACAGTATATGAAAATAGTGCTTATCTCCCTTTGTCCCCCTCCAACTGATGTCAATATCAAAGCCAGCCACTTGCCAGGCTGTCATGTGAGGACACATAGTTTGCGCACAGAGAAAAATTCCTGAGAAATGTTATCATATGACGTAAGGGAATTCTCTGACAGCCAAATTAAATCACGCCCACGCTCCACTTTATTCAGGATACCATTTTTGCTTCAATTCACATCGTTGACATTTGCATGCTTCAACTGAAATTTAGTCACTACATTGGGTTATTCAGCTTAAAACGGACTACCTCCATTAGAATAATGAGAAATTCAGTCGTTCATCACAATTGTTTACACCTGCTCTCATATAAACCGATCGTAACGGTGCAATTAAACAGAGATTTTTAAAACTACGAATTATCAACATGTACAAACAAGATATTTTACCCTAATACTTTTGTAGGTTAGTCAAAAGAATGGGGTGTATCGACACAAAGCTCTATAAGATGCGACACCCAGATAAGCTCAATTTGAGACACAGTTGCCCCTTATTAATTATCATTTATTTTTGAAGAGCATGGTCACAAACATAAAAAGTGAATGCAAGCGATGAATGCGAAAGAGTAACAGGAGAATATGGGAGAAAAGAGAGAAACGTCTCATTCGAAATCATGCCAAGGACAGTGCCAGTCTGATGAGGTGAATCCCAAAGTATGTAAAGATTTTGGAATGGGAACAGGCGTCTAAAGACCGGTTCTGATCACTCCAACCAGCCGAACACAGATAGGTTGTTCTTGTAATACAAGGGAGGTAATATGACAAATACACTCAATGTCACATCAGTATGTTATTCACGAGGGACTCAAGTGAATCTCACGTTTATGGATATAAGAATGACAGAAACTCTGAGACTGCGCCTACCTCATAAGCCCGAAGAAGGGCATCACGGGTCGTGGGCTGTCAAAGGCTTTTCAGCAAGCCGGTGGATTGTTTCCTCTAAGAAAAAAGATAAGCAAATAATTTAGTTTAGGAGTTGGAATGAGTGTATAGAAATGACGAACAAGGTCACCGACAATAAGAGTTTTGTGAATAGCCTCGGTCAGGATGAAATAGGAGTTTATTTGGTGCAGCGCGTAAGAAGAAACAAAACTAGGGAACATATGACTAGACGAGAAAATGAGCTTTCTGGTATAGGAGGTAAAGGCAAAGCCCATGTTTTGCTCGTGTTAGATGCACTGGATGGCTCGGGGAGCAGTGTTATATGTCGCGTTTTCCCAATGTAAGTAAATCATGGACTAAGGACGCACCAATAAAACAGTATTTTTTATTTGCCGTTCCTCATTCCAGGTACATGGGTGGCAACACATCAGCTAAAAACCTTAATACGATCAAGTCACTCCGAGTGTTACGTGTACTGCGTCCATTAAAGACGATTAACCGAGTGCCGAAGTTAAAGGTTAGTTTCTTATTTGCATAAACCTGCATAGAGTTTTGGTCACCTTTTTACGATTACTACAACAAGCTAGCAGGAAATAACAAAAAGAAGGGTGCATTTTTACTATACTTGAGGGTCTATCCAATAAAAATTTACAGTGATATTTCTCAGGTAAACAGTGCTATAGAAACGTCATCTTGAGCTTAAATCAACCATCAGAAGAGGATACTAATGTCATCCACTCTCAGTCTCCTTTCAGAATAGTGAAAGGGTGTAAGCCATCGTTCTGAGTCAAGTGGTGATTTTTCTGCTGCAAAAATCGGTACGCAAACAACCGTAGGATTTCATGCCCAGAAAAGTTAGATTTGTGGGAAAATTGCCCCTGGATTATCTGGAAACCTATGAGGATCAAAATGTTCATATATATCTCATAAAAAACCTGTAAACACCTTGTAATGGTCACACACTTTGTTCCAAAACGCCCGCTGCCCTACTGTGACAGACTTGCTGGTTATTGTTCAGTGAAAATTTTCATGATAATCTACAACGAATGCTGCCGACCGGAGATCTCTCCAGGGAAATCAAGTTAGCATACCAAATAAAAGGGTCCGTCATAAGACTTGTGTGTCAAACAAAAAACAATCCTGTTAAATTCAGTCTGTTAGGCACAAAATGTAGTGATTGGCTGCATTTTGTTATCAATACCTGAAAACCCCACGGAAAGTCGAATACATCAAACGATAATGAAAGACAGTTGTCAGATTTTTGTGTTGTACATGAAGTGGATTTTGGAACCTAAAAGAGCCCTAATTGTTATCACGCATGCGTCTCACGAATTTCTGAGTTGACTCAAACTCTCGTTCTGGATGACCAGAACGCTCACCCGTAAACGACTAATCAGCAGTGAGATTAACTTGCATTTAAGCACGATAATAAGTCCCAATAAGGGTAAAGCAACCGTCAAGTGGTTCTTGATTTTTCACCATATTCTTCAGGAGGAAATCTCAACTGAGGTTGTAGAATATCCTCACAGTAGTACCAAAAGTTGTCATTATTTAAATACGAATTGGGAGGAAAGGTTCCTGATATGCATGTAACTAGCCACACGAGTTAATTTATATTTATCTGAACACAAGGCCTTTTTACGCAGATACACGTTGCTTACGACAGGGCTAAATTATTACACACGACCATAATTGTGCAACTGTATGGATCGGTCATAATGTGTGCGCTCTTGTGGAAAACGGTTGAAAATCCTTAATTAATTCCCCATCCAATCAGTGAGTATTAATATGTGCGAGAACACTGAAGTTTGGTGGATCCAAAAGCATCATTGATATAAACATGCGGCGGAATTCCAACCAACACTTTGATTAGGATAGGATTCTTCGAGTAGATCAGTGGCTGCCATTCAGATGGAACATTTCAACGGTTCGTTAGTCCCTATCTGAGTTAGCCTAAACCGAAGTCTCATATCTCGGTATATTTTTATGAAAACGAACTATGATACCTCAGATATCATGCCAACTAAAACACGAGGTGGCCTTTTTGCAGCATATTCAGTTGGGGAATGCCATTAATGAAGAATTCATGTGGACAGCTCTTTAAAATCACTGTAATTTGTATTTGAATGTATTCCACTAAAATGTTTATTTCACCTTGACTAACATGGCACAATTCGCATATCCTCGTGGAATATGCGAGACTGGCCGTGTGCGAAATTGACCTAATAATCTCCATCGACTTTTCCTCTTTCTCACCATAAAGGCAGTTTTTGACTGTGTTGTCAGCTCACTGAAGAACGTGTCCAACATACTCATCGTTTACTGGCTATTCCAATTCATCTTCGCCGTGATTGCGGTCCAACTATTCCAGGGTCGGTTCTTCTACTGCAACGACATATCAAAAGTGACAAAAGAAGAGTGCCAGTAAGCTCCTAACTAGTCTATTTTACTGGTAATTAGGGATAAAATAAACCACCTGAATGCATGCACAACATTTATCGATGTGTCGTCGGGTGAGGCTGCGGGACGGACAAGGGTATTGTACGAGTTGACCATTTGTGTTGCAGTGCAGAATGGACATACTTTGGAGATCTAGGGAAGAGGTCGCGCATGATGAGGCACTGTGGTTTTATCAGGTGTTTCAAAGTTGACAAAATCCCTTGTTCTAGTCCATTATTAACCTCCACTTTTTTCCAGCTGCGACTTGTCTTTACATTGTCAGCGATTTATTGAATTGTGTTTCCGGAAACGAATGCATGCGGCATTAATCACAGAATAAATGAAGAAGCGTTAGGTATGAGCTGGACATGTTGGTGTCCATGAGAAGCACATTCCACATACTATAGTATTCTCTGAGTGAACAGCAAGTCTGCGCTTTATTTGGCCATCTAAGATACCCGTGTAATAATAGCCAAGTGGAGAGATTATGTTGGATATCAACAGCGTATAAGCACCCATGCATTAGGACGTCATTACAAACTGTACAGCGTTTTATTGGAGCCCATCATGAGAAGCGGAAGATTGTTCCTGTTTAGTACTCTGAAGAAAAACGAACTAATATTTTCTCCGATCAGCCTATGACCTATGACCTGTAGCGCGTGAGGGGATGAGGAGTGTACATTTCATCGCACCTAGTCCTTTAATGATGTGACGGTATTGTACTAGCTGTATACTATTACTCTATTAGCAGCATACTAGTGTAACGTTGATACTACTGATGGAGAGGCACGCAAGTAGTGTATGTTGTGCGTGGAATTTCGCTTTACATCTTTTGGAGAGGGGAGATCTGTTGTAGAATTTGTGGAGTCGCTTTGTAACATTTTCTTGGATTTGAGCGATGAATGACTGGAGTCAATGAATATCCAGGAAAATTCAAGAAGACGCGTTCAGGAGGAGATGGATGTCTAGTTTTTGTAAATAAGATTCAAATGGGAGGTTTGCTTCCCTGTCCAACGGTTTGCAACCGGTCAGTTGGCACTTCCTAATAAATAATTCCGAAGCGAAGGCCTTCTTCTTTTACTAGTACTGTAAACCAGTAGCTGTATACCAGCTGGTATTCCACTGTCGGTAGCTTTTGCGCGTTTGTGTTTGTCATGTGTTACCAGTGTCTGGCCCCATTTGCGTATTTTCCCACTGGATGTAACTTAATTTATACGACAATCTTCATCAAACACACCAAAGACAGTTCCCTAAAGCAGCGAACCTCCCTTAAAAATTATTCATTTCAATAAAGGTAGCTGCTTGTCAGTTAGTTCAGCTATTCGAGATGGTAGCATAAAAATTGAGAAGGATGCTCCGCATCCTTAAAAATTATTGCGAAACCCAATATTTGGTTAACTATCATGCCGGTTGTTTTCCTCAAATGGAAATCTTTATTCTGTTATTATAGAAGTGTTATACATCATCTTAAAGTGGAGGTGGATAACAACAAATATGACAGAAGCAAACCAAATAATCCTTTAAATACAGTGTCTGGATTACTGACCATCCTCCATAATCCAAACCCCAGAAACTAGGTTTACTGAAAAAAAGGCCGGATTAGAAATAGACAGCTACCTGCTTAGTGTTTTTCTCAGTGCATTGGAGACCTGTTTTACCAACAAAATAATCAGCTCTTTACTTACCTTTATTTACACCACAAATGTGAACCACAGTATTAGTGGTTAATCGAAATTTCTTGCAAAGCTGCCACGTAAACTATGGCGACTATTCACAGTAGTTTTCTCTCATTGTTACAACCGTTTTTGTATCCATAGGAGTTTCGCGGTTTGTAAGTCAAAAGCGATTAGTGGTAAAATAACAGTTCACCGCGAGGCTTATTTCGGTCGTCCATAGTCTGACGGTTGAAACCGGTTTCGATTGCCTGAGTTTTCGTTTCACATTCCACACTATTACCATGAATGGGTTTGTCTTATTTGTGCGCATTACGTTTATGAGATAATTTTATTATTTTTGTGTATTCTGTAGCCGAGAATCTGACTACTCATGAATATCTTAGTTATTGTTTCTCACCTGTGGCAATCTTTTGGAAGTAGTAATGTCTTTTAAATTGTAGTACTCGGTGCACTTTGAAGTGGTAATTACAATGTAAAATTTGTCCGTTCACCTAAAGAATTTTTATTACTCGCCTCCTGATTAGCACACAATATATTGTCCTAGGAATCTATTTTTGAGATTTTTGATCATACTTAACACCCGTGTACAGTAATGGTTGATTGCCGATCTTAAAACGATTTTAAAACGCTCCATAAGGATTATTCATTGTAATTGACCGTTATCCAGCCTTTCACAATCACTGGGATTCGTGCTTTAATTCAGCAAATATAACTGAGCGACTGGTAATGTGAGGAGATCCGGGAAACTGAGCAATAACAGTGCATTTCGACATGCCAAGGAATATGCAGTTGCATGAAATTAATCTTGTTTGTAGCTCGAACATAGTGATTATTGCGGCTCCTTATTTTAAGTAGTTTCTGTTACTGTCACTTTTTTGTACGTTTCATTACGAGCACTGTTTTGGTTTGCCAACATGGTTTTAGGTGCAACTGTCTGCAATCATATAAAACAAAATTCAATATAAGTTTCATCCATAATTAGTTGAGGAGACTGGTCCCTCTCCAAAGAATGATTATCACGACATTCTAGAACTGAACTGCTGTTTGGTGAAAAGCCATGGCTGGTGAAGCAAACCAGATAAATGAAGGACCCTAGATCGTCCACCATAAGAATCGGCAGGGTCATACACGTTTAAGTTGCCCTAGTTCTTGATGAATAGTTTTCCAGTTTCGATTTTGTCACTGCAGAAGTCACAATACTCTTTCAATGTGTCGCATGATCTCAAGAAAAAATACCATTTCCTCACCGTTTTTCAGTGGACAATTCTTTGAATACAACGAAAGGGGAGAACCGGCAGTCAAAAATCGTACCTGGCGATCTCATGACTTTAACTACGACCATGTGATCAATGCGATGCTTACGCTTTTTACTGTGACTACTGGCGAAGGATGGCCGGCGTAAGTAACATACACAATTATCTATTTGTTCTGAGTAACTGAAGGTGTGTTGCAAATCTTGAAAATCGTTTAGGTACCTATAAGCAAACATCTGAGTAATTGGATTTCCAAAACCAAGTAAGTATAGCACCATCGACTGGCAATAATAATTTGCGTGCTAATGATAATCATGCTAAGTATTAGGAAGGAAAACGATACAGGCAGATGGTTCGTCTAAAGGGACGTATAACAACGAGCACTTTGAGTCGAGCCGTGTGTGGAAACATTTGGATTCGAAGCTATCCAATGGAGAAGCTAAAAATAAGATCGTGGTGTTGACAGGTGATACTAGGTTTGAATCAATCAGAATGCATAGCTGGTGATCCAAAATTAGCTGGTAAATGGTTTAGAGCACTACTGGAGGGAATAATGCACGATGTCACCACAGCACAAATATCGCGAGTTCTGCAACTTTCTCTGATCTTCGTGAGACGATAAGTTTTTGGCAGCCCACCAGGAACTATAGAGCTACCTAATTTGATACCTTCGTCAATCACAGCAATTGGGCAGTCTGTCAACAGGAGTTTGTGCTCGCTAACAAATTCATTTATATTACTGCGCTATAACCTGAAGGTGGGAACTTCATGTTAAACCATGCGCTAAATTCAGTGACGTCTTAATTCCAGATCGTTAGGCTCTCAGAAGGACATGTTCTAAAATAAGCAGCATAAGCTGCACAGCGAACCATTACGAGCAGTCGGATCAAAACTGACTTTGAATATATAGAATGAGATAAGAGGGACCATTACAAGCTAGTAAGACATAGAATCAGCCGGATGTCGACAGTGTATTTTTTACGGTTTGCTTATTTTAAGTTAAATTACTAGCGGTTTGTTTGATTTATGAAGCTCTTGGTACTTTGGGTAGTTAATAAGATCGTAAGGTTCAAGATCGATTGTGGGATGCTCAGGAATTTTCGTTAACTCACGCTCATTTCGCTCATTTTTGAAAGTCCCGCTCTCTTAAAGTAATTACTTTGATGCATTTCACCAAAGAGGACAAGCAACGGACCCTAATTTTTACCTTATTAGAGCCCCTTAGCAATATGTCTCCTCGGACCTTCAGGTTTGAAATCCAAGAATGTGAACAAGTGGAATAATTGCGCCATGATAGGAGAACTTTCTAAACGAGAACAATATGAAATCGAAGTACACAAATCCAGCCACCAATATCAATACCATGGGATATATAATTATGCCTCATTTATATAATTGAGGTGTTTTTTCACACACTGAGGGGCTGCGTTTGAGCTACATTTCGTCCGCATTTCATTTTTTTACAGTCACGCATCAGTGTCTAATATGATGAGCTTTTTCATGCCATGACACTGCTCCAAAATTTCATGAATCTCGTCATCTCACTCATACCGTTTTGGGAATGTATCTATCAAGTGTTGTTCCAGAAACCTCATTAAGAAAAATTCTTAAGTAAAGAACACAATCCAGCATATGGAGCTCAACACTTAACAGCAAACGAAGACAGTTTTGGTGTCACTCAGTTTGAATGCTCTGACCCGATGTGTCGTACAAGGACGCTTCTAGTGTACTGGTGTACCAGGCAGGTTTGATAAAAACAATGAATGGCGAAAACAGTTAAACAGTGATATGCGCAGCCGATTCTCAGCTGATGCAGCCAAGTAGGAACGAAACGTGATGACTGCTGAATTTTAGAGTCAACTGCCTCATTCTTTTATAAGTGGTATGGGTCAACCCTACCCAGTAGGCTTGGTACCCAACAGATCTTGCGCATGGCTCGTAAAAAAAGCCTCTGACAAGTTTCATTGCATGGGCCTAGTCGAAGGGAACTTCTGTTTGCTGGATACCCCCCTCGCGTTTCGACCGGTAAACATCATTAAAAGGAAGCTTATTAGCCTCACACAGGCATTTAATTAGACGGTATTTGATTACAAAACCGAATTAACATCATTGCAATTCCTCCTTTGTATTTTGCACATGTAGTGTTCTGAAGCATTCAATCGACACCACCTCCGTTGACCGTGGACCAATCGCAGATTTTCGACAAGAAATGGCCGTCTTCTACATAGTGTTCTTTATTGTATTCCCGTTCTTCTTCGTCAACATCTTCGTTGCACTCATCATCATTACATTCCAGAAACAGGGAGAAAACGAACTGATGGAGATGGATATAGACAAAAACCAAGTATGTTTGAATTACACCTGTCAAGTTTCCCAGTTTCCAAGCTTCAAATTATTCGACCGTTTTTTGGAAAAGCCGCATTAACTAGGCGTATTTTCAACGCAGTTACAGCTTGATTTAACAAAGTGGTATTTAAAGCGTCAAGGGAAGTTTATATTCCCCGTTGACGCTCAACGATAGGGACTACCCATGCGAAATCAACTGACCTGAGAAAACACTCATGGAATTTAGGTTTTCGGACGTTAGACTGGTGTGCCTATGCATCAAAAACAGTTAGCCTATTCTGATCATATTCTGTCCTCTACAGGTAATTCTGCCCATGTAGAAGGCCGTTTTTTGACCGAAGATGAAAAATGAGTAGATGTGGGAACAGTTGAACAATTTCTGCGTCAGCTATTTTCCCCGAATTTAACGACCTCTCAGCTTTAAACAACCCATTAGGATATTCGCTGTTCGGAGGAAGGAGCACTTATTTGTTAAGCGAAAGCTATATATATATACAGATATATATCAGGTGACCGAAAACCAGTTAGTCTCCTAAAAGAAATAACGTTTTCCTTAGACCAATTCACAAGGAATATGTTTGGCTGGAATAAATGTTATCACATCCCATACCCTCATCCTTCCTATCTTCCGAAAATACCCCTATGTGCAGTCATTGCCCATTTCTGTACCCCCTTAAAACTTTTCAGTATTATAAGCCTTCTCGACTTCAATCCTGGTCTGTTTTTAACCACATGAACCTGGTTATATCTACGGACACAAATTCTGCCCCATGAGGATGAGCGGCTAGTAATTGAGTGAATGCAAATTTATCAGAGGAAAAGGATGCTTCGCACATGACACCGAAAATAAATTAGGTTTTGTCTTTTTTGCAACTGGAGACTTTCGCAATAAATCACCAGCCTCGGCAAACAGGCTAGCAACTGTTGAATCAGTCCAAAAACAACAATATTCCGGAACATTCCCAAATGAACTTAATTTTCATATATATCTGCGAATTCTTTTTGTTCCAGAAACGATGTATCGATTTTGCCATCAACGCATCACCTTTGTGTCGATATATGCCGAAAGATCGCAACTCACTCAAGTATCGCATCTGGCGTCTGGTAGTTTCAACACCGTTTGAATGCTACATTATGGTGATGATTGCAATAAATACGCTTGTTCTGATGATGAAAGTGAGCCAACTTTGTGTATTTAATTCACTTTAATGCTTCTCCACGCTGCGCTGTACAGCAAGGCGGTTGAGCTCGTAATTTGTCACACTGTCGCATAATTGGCTGTAATAATGGTGTGTTAGTATCCCGTTCCTGATAAAACTAAACATTGTTTCAGAGCTCGTTGTTCATAGAAGTGAGGAGCTACAAAGTACCGATGCTGCTCATTGGGCAAACACACCTAAATAGTAATGTTCAAATGATACAAGCTACCGACTCAAACATCTGTCAAAATCCACCGCGTGGGCGCTCCTCATGACGCCCACTAAATGTTAGATAATTCACTAGGCATTGATCAAATGAAGTTGCAGAATAAGAAAGCCTAGCACATTTCGGGCGCGAATCGGTTATGACCTGTATTTTGGGACTACCAAACATGTATGACTCCTATAAATACCAAGCTTATTCAATCAAAAACCAATTGTGCTTACTTAGACAGCTTAAACATGGCTTGTTGTAAGTCACTGCTGACAGCTCAGTGGTGTTTATATTTGCACATATATACCTATACCAACCTATTTAATGTTCATGAAGGTAACTGAGTTTTAACCTCCCTCTCTGGAACCAGAAATCAATATCGCGGAATCTGATAAGCAATGGAGTAACCTAGAGTTTATTGACTGTTTGATGGGGGATTTACTCTTGACGTTATACATGATAACATTTGACTGACAAATCACTGTGTGACAGATTAGCAATGCCTCCACCCAAATACCATGTATCCATCAATATCCTGGTTTCCAGCTTTTATTTTGAATGCCCTTTTGCTTTCTATGTACGTAGTATCATCGACAAGAACAAAAATCATCGACGCATCTCACAATGGACACGGAGCAACAGGCATATCACAACTACTGTAACACGCTGCTCTATTTCAACTCAGCATTCACCGTGATGTTCTCTATAGAATGCATGCTCAAAATACTAGCATTTGGACCAAAAGTAAGTTTATTTCCCTTACAATTCGTGTTATCTTTGTTCCCAAAAGTTCTCTGTCTGAAAGTGAGACAACAATAGATTGATTGCTCTCGAAGGCTAAAGTGTAACAAGCGCAGCTGCAGAATCTAATTTGTTTCATTCAGTGAAGGGGGCTTCGAACAGATGTGAAAAACACGGTGAAGCTAGATTTGAAACTGAGAATATCGTCTTTCCGAAAAACTAATGTAACAGGAGACCATTTGAGTGGGTTAGATCAGTGTACAAAGTGGAATTGAGGCTGCCCATATCTTCTCAACTTTCAGCGCTGCCTTTCACCTTTGAAAAGTTGTGTGGACGGGAATATAGGCAAATTTGTTACCTCTGTTAGATGAAACGGCCGCCAGTGTTCAACATTTAACAATATGAGCGAAAGCATGGACCATTTTATGAGGTGCGTATGATCAAATGTGCTTGATTCACTGACACGCGTGCAAGACGGACGCGATTTTCAAATACACTTCTGTTTCTCTGCTCAATGGATACTAAAAGATGCCAAAACAGACCGTATGAAAGAGGCAATTTCTAACCACATACTGCCTTTACATCAAGAAAGGCTGAGATATTTTGCCGTTGACTCGTAGAAGATTGATAGAAACCTATCATGTGACCCAACAAGTGGAAACACAGAAGATTTACACCACTCAGAACAGTGGAAGACTAAAGAATAAAGCAGAGTCATGTAAGCGGTTTATCAATTTTTGATGACTACTTTTCCCGAGTTAAGCGTTATTAGTATAGTGGACAGCTGAAATGAAGGTGCTACTTATTCTCCTACTACTTATTCCTAAGTAATTCTTCACTGCCACTTATGCTGCTGATACACACGTATACATACATATACATATGTACATATGTATGTACGTATGCTACTATTGCTCACGTGCGGTTTATTTATCCAAAACGATTGTAATGATTCTTATTGGGGGCACCGAGCTGACAAAAATATTTAGGAAAATACAATACTTTAGGTGTTCTAATAGAAGCGTCGCACCAGCTTCTCAGTGTTTACCGTAGTGCTAATATTTATGGTAATCCACCATGGTTCCCCCAATTGGCGGCACTTGACGTCTCTGGTTTTATTGCCCAGTCTTTTGATGGGATTCACAGGATCAACTGCAAAAGTAGGTCAGCTCTACGCAAGTGGTTTTCACCATCAAAATCATTTCCACACACCCACTAGTCTACCTATAGTTCTCTTGGAAATCCGTAATGGATGACGCATGTAAATGGAGAACGGAAGGCAAAAGCTTTCGCAAGTTGCATACAGTACATCTCAAGAAGTCAGAAAAACGCAACAGAGTAGCTAGGTTCCCATAGATGGTTGTTCTAATTGCACGAGGACCTCACAAGAAGTCTTTGCTAAAAGGAGAACCCTGCGCTAAAGTCCTTTTGAATATACCTATTACATATAAGTCAATGGATGGGGAATTTACCATGCAATGAAGTATATGATTGATTCTCGTTTGTTCACCACAGCTGTATATAACTTTCGTAGAAAATGAAGCACTATCTTCAAATAAGCAAAGTCGTAAAAACAGAGGAAACTCACTAGTTCACTATCTGACTAACTTATACAGAAACACGGTGATTAGTTGGTGTACGATAACATCTCATTTTGATCCTCCTGTTAAATACGGAAAAACAAGTTATTCGTTTTCATTTGTTTTCAGAATTATTTTCGTGATCGATGGAACATATTTGATTTTATCACAGTGATTGGTAGTATCACGGATGTGCTTGTATCGGAACTACAGGTAAGATACTCAACTTATGTTCTGCACATAGAAATGCGTTTCGATCTGCGTATGATGCGCAACTGTGCGTCATAGCTACTTTTAAGTATTTTGGTAAAAGAATGTTGAACTGGTTATTTTGGAGTTTCGATCTTCTTAAGTGATAAAGACTATTGTTTATGCCGCGGAGGATGAAAAACTCCTATATCTTTTGGCTTCCGAGGGTCTCGTTTCTTTAGGGACCGAGCCGAAATATCACAGTAAAAAGGGGAGTGACAGCCACCACATTTCAGACGGAAATTCCAACCATCCTATGAAATATTCGTTTGTTCCTTCTACCTACGTACGGCTTATTGACAATCGTCACTCGATAGCTAGTCGATACTCGATCGCGTTATAAAAAAGGGGAGAGAGAAGGATGGTTGTCACTGCATCCTGCCTAAGTTCCAGTTGATCACATTTGTGACCGGCCGCTCCAGGCCGAACGGCAAAATCTACACTTACGAGCAAAGTCGTCACATGTTTGGTCTCGCTGGAAGTTGAGGATCACATTGCTGATTATCCCCAGTACCGATCAAAATGATGCACGAAGCTTCGCGGCTTTTGTATATAAGCTGACCTTATTTACAGGATAAATCTTGAATGAGGTTTACCTACGAGTTATATCAAATAATAGACCAAAAGTCAATGTGATACCGTCTTAGATTTACGGGTGCACCTAAAACATGTGTCTAAGATAAACAGAATTTCTCAGCTTATGGCTCTTTTTGGGTACTGTTGGTACTCAATCCGACATGGATAACAATTCAAGCCCAGTAAAATCATGATAATGATAAAATCGTGATAATACATACAAACTCTATTCAGATAAGAACCAAAAGCCTGTACAGATATAATCCTACCAATCACCTAGGCGTAATGTCATGCAGAATGCAACGAACAATTTGAACGGTGGGCCAATATGATCGTGTTCGAAGCTGAAATAGTTGGGCATCCAACAAGATCCTCCGGTAAAATTTCACCACGGCTTCCTGTTTATTCTGATCACAAAGTCAACAAGGATGTCTATCACTGTTCCACTTCATCTGACAATTGTTCCAATACGAAGGAATAAGAAATCGTTTTCACTGGAACGTCAAACACAGTTGTGAGGTCAGACACGCTAACAATGCCCAGTAGAGGGGTGAGAAATAAATCCGACTTTCAGAGCGCAATAGCATAAAGTAGGGCTCTCTCAGGTTGGGGAAACTGATTTAAAAATGAAAGGATTATCACTGGTCATTTGAGAAGGCTAGTTTACTTCAATATGGAGAGCGAAAAATTGCAAATTTACTTATAAGGACAAATGAAAGTTTTATTAAATAGGATAGGATATTGCATCTTAAAACCTCAAGACATTAAAGTGTAGGAACAATAATTCAGACCATTTCGTGGAAACATTTAGACAGGTCCTTGGACACGTGTCAGCTCAAGGGTTGTTGAACCTATTGTACAGCATTTATTGGCAGCCGTATTTACATTCCACTGAGGGAATCGCAGACAGTACCAATAACTGCAATGATTTGTTGAGTTTCTAGTGCTTTATAACTGGTTGAATCGATAACATATATTTCTGGTTTGATAACTTACAAATGATGACCTTTCTTAGCCGTAAGAAGACAGTTGTTCTAAGCACCATTATTGTTATTCGTTGTCTATATTTTCATATTTTTTGACTCGTTATAGTGCCTGCTTTTTCCCAGAGAATGTGCGGTCTATGCTGTGCACTGGAGTAGTTGTTGTTTAGCCACGTTTTTGTACAAATGGTCTCTCAGTCCAGCAACTTGTTTGTAAGCTAGATCGGGTTTATAAGAGACAAAGAGCCAATCAACGACAGATTACATCATTGGCAAGTGTTGACAGAGATTTTTTGTGGGGGTGTGTTTGAATACATGCCTCACTAATAGGCTACGGAAAGCCCCGAAATAATTTTTGATGGCATCTGGAGTCTGACCCTTTAGTTCACAAACTTCATTTGAAGTCTCCTTCTGAGTGTCCTTCATAATTGCTGGTATAAATTCTGAGTGATAATTCTGTAAATCGTTTTCCTGATTAGATTTCCCACTGTATATTTGAATAAATTTTTTGCTGTCAATTAAGCACTAACACTTTCTAGCGTCCATCAATGTTGTCACGCGTGTCAGCCACGCCTAACAACTCCGCTTCGTCCCGGGATTCATGTTAATTTCTGTCGTCTCAACTATCACTTTTTTCGGCATGCATTGTCATTCCCCGTAAATTCCGAACTTTTAACTGTGTTCTGCCCTCAGTACATACGCCACCATCTTCCATCCGCTCCTGATATTAATATTAATCTCTTGGTTTCTGATTATTTCTCCCTCAATCTCCATGGCATTCTAATGTATATGGTAATTTCTACATTCAACTGAGGGACGATCACCCAATCGGTCCAATACTCTGCATAACCTTTTTTAATATCTGCAAAGCCACCCGTTCGTGCTATAATTAGCACCAAGTACTTGCTTTGAACGGAATGACTTTTTTTCCGTCCCGTTGTTACCACGCCTTGATATCAGTGTTGACGCCAGTGTTCATACCAGTGTTGACCATACAACAAAAGAATTGGGACGAAAACAGAACCCAGTGTAATGAAGCATCTCAACTATGATCTGAGTTTTGAGAAACCGTGAGAAACCGCCAGGCGAGGGCCACCATGGCGTTAGCCCGTTGGCTTGGTTTTCTATGGCATTACTTTGCGCTTGCTGATTGACTATCAGTAGGGACAGTCTCGTGGGGACCAAGTTGAATTTCACCGTGATCAAAAATCCATCAATCATTTGTTTGCCATGGAAAAAATTCTTGAGCAGCGTCCCTCTTTCAAACCTCCTATTTTGGCTGTTCTCCTTGATTTGAAAGTTGCTTTCAACTCTGTCGATCGTCAGCAACTTTGGTAATGTCTAAAATCAAAGGTCTTACTACCGAGCTGTACCTTTCATGGGGGTATCTTATGGGAAATAATGTAGGCGCAAAGTAGAATTAATCACGTCCACTGGTGTAAGACAAGCCTGCTTGCCATTCGTGTTAAATTTTTTTATTGATCTGCTGCTCCACTTGCACCATCAAATGCTTCTTGGACGTTCACTTGCGGACATTGAGTACACTAAAGATGTTGCTTTTCCCACTGCGGATCCTTCCAATGTACAAACCGTTTCAAATAGCCTAAGGAATCCA